CACAGCGATTTTGTCCTTTTTTATCAATTTCCCGCTCCAAGCTAGGTCGAGTTTCGGTTCCAGAGAGACATCTGGCCTGGAACCAACTTCTGGTAATGTTCGAGTTTTTGAACTTTTCAGGAACATTGTTCATTAAAATGTGCACGGCGTCATGCTCTATCTTTGTTATTGATCTTAATTGCTGCCATAAGATCAAAAATGGGCCAGTTCTCATTTACAGTGGCAATAGAAGTCAAAAAAAAAATGCCTGTAGACACAATGGAGGAACAGACCGCGCCATCGCCGGTCTCGCTGCACTGCCTCATACTCCCTCTTCCTTTCTCATTAACTCCTTTTCTCATTAACAGGAGTTTGGGTTGGTACTGATACTTTTTTCTTCACAGAGCCGTCTCCCAAAATCGCCAACTACTAATTGGAAATAGCGCTTGAAGTACCTTGTCCTTGTATGTTACATGAATCTGGTAAACTTCCTGTCTCATAGTCCACTCATGCCCTAGTCTAGAACTTTTTCACTCTGGAACGTTTTATAGTCCAAAAAGTCCAAGTCGTTTGTACGGACACGCGAGTTTTCAACATTCAAACGTTCATAACTTTCTTCATAATCAACTTTTTGCAGATGTTCAAGGCTAATTAGAAACTAGAAGATTAGCGCTTTCGAATAGTGCTGAAACTTTTTCAAAAAACACTTTCAAAAAATAGTCCCGTTGTTCCGTTTTTTCCCCTTGATTTTTTCAAGCCATTTTCCTGAAACGCGACTTTGCAATCTTCAAACGTCCATAATTTCCTTCAAAATTCATATAATGAGAAGCGGTTAGAAGTATTGAATTCTACATAAAGAAAAATTTTTCCTGAAAAGCATCCTTCTGCCAAGAATTTCTGAGGGGGTCACTAGAAGTCAATTAAGCAAGTTCTAACTTCTTCCATTTAGATTTGTTCTGAAGACATCAAGATTCTTTGAAAGTTTGTCTGCTCACGGCCGCTGACAGATAAAGCGTTTTGAAGTGAAAACTCCTGCTCGGGGTACGCCGTGCACCTGTCTGTGGTCAGCAGTCGCACTAGCATTTGAAAGTCCTCCACTCCCCTGGAGACGGTGATAGTATCGCGATTGTAGTTGTCATCTTACTGTTACATGAAACCCCCCTTTCGTTCGGCAAAATACGACCCCGTCGTTGTTCTTTGCGCAACGGGCGGTTGAGCTTGGTAGCATCTTTGTAGCGGCGGCTCTCGCGGCTCTATGCGCCCACCGACTACCAATCCTGGTGCTGACCCCTCGCCATGTGACAGTAATCGTTTGAGCAGAAAGAGCCGCAATAGAGTTCACGTCGACGTTAGCGTCGACAGGACTTGCCCCAAGCCCAAAATCAACGGAAGGAACAAGCGATCTGTTTTTGCCTCGGCCTTCCCTATGAGTTTTTCCTTTTACCTTGCACCCTTTGGAAACTATACTTTCATCCTCAACAGGTGAACAATTCATAGTAAAACGTGCCTTCAAATTAATCCCATGTCTCATCGGAATTCCGAACACACTTAAGTTGCACAAAAGCTTGGCGAAATCTTTATTGCAACAACGGAATTTGATATTGAAGAAATGATTCGGGCCTTCTCAATGTGATGGCACTCAGATATTACTGTTACTCAACATGCACATATAGTTTATAACAAACGTCAACAGTACTTTGTGGTTCGCAGTAAACACAGGTGGCCGTTAGGGTTGTGTATCCCTCTCTTTGTGAGTAGGAAGTGCCATTGCATCCGTATCGAGAACCATCTTGAAGATTTTTAATCTGAACGTACTCTTTCATGAAATTTTAGCAAAATTGGACATATTAACCCGCGATGCGGATTTAAACGGGAGCAATTTCAAGTAGGCGGGAATGATACACTGCGTCCATCGTCCTAAATCGAATTTCCCTGGTGAATTAATCGTGCGTTCAAGTCTAGAAATTTCATGGTTGAAGAAGGATCACAAGAGAGTCCGTGTTGGGTTTGAATTTTAAGCTGTACGGTTTCAGTAGGTACGGTAGCGCTCAAAAGTCTCCGGTGGAATACTTTTTCGACTGTAACTTTTTTCCGCTGAAATCAAATCAGTTCAAATTTTAATATGTTTTGAAGACAGTCCTACTTCACTTAAACGGCATATTTGTTTCGGATTGGAGAAAGAATTAAGAATGGAAAAAATCATTTCACTAGAAATTCTCGCGTATGAGCAAATTCCAAGTAAGTTTCAAATTACTCTAGCAAGCTTACAATTCAACAAAACAATCTTACGCATGATGAATAACACTGGGCAGGTCCAATACTTTGTTAATGATCTTCTGGGTTCGCTGAAATCTTAACAAGGCCTAAGTAAGGAATCAGTCATTGAATGCACTGTCTACTAGGGCAGCTTCCTCCACTTCTCTTGAAATTTGACGAGTTTCTCGCCCATATTCCCGGCTCTTATTTCCACCAAAGGTATCCCTACTCTTTCCCATAATGTTTCGATGGCGCTCGGGACATTGGTGTGAATTGTTCCCTTCGTTGAAAGCGCGCCATGCTGTCGAAACCAATCCTTCACAGTGAAGGTGCGATGCTTTTGGTCGCTCTATGCTAGAAGGCGAACTCAGTCACGTACAGTTGTCATACATGTGGATAAGAACTCCTTCTAGAACCCAACTGTATAGGCTGCCTTCACATGATTGCGAATACTGCGAAGTTAGTCGGCGGTGAACTGGTCGGGGGCGAAATGGGCTTACGCACACCTAAAGTGGGGATCCCCATAGGGCTACAACGTCCTGCGGACCAACGAGAGTAAATTCAAGATGTTTGCCGGCGACTGAAATAGGAATGTGTGCGGTCCTGAGGAAAAACGTTTCGATCCAAGGAATTAACTGCCGTATGTAAAACTTGGCGGAGGCTCGCGTGTGGTAGTCCGTAAAAGAAGTTTTACAACTGCACAGGATTAGAGAAGTGGTGAATGCCGACGTATCAGATAGATTCTAGAAGGAGTTTCGTATCCGCTCGTATGAAACTGTACGTGACTGAGTTCGCCTTCTAGCATTAGAGCGACCGAAAGCATCGCACCTCTGTTGTGAAATAGGGGTTTCGACCAGGGTCTGTCCTATCGTTGTTACTTTTCGAAAAATTTTTACGACCCCCCTCCCCCAAGGTGGATTTGGTACGACCCCCTTTTCGACACCTCGACCACCATATTCCTCTCTATAGTATTTAATTCTGGTACCACTCAACCCACCAAACTCCGCCCACTTTTTCCTCCAAAAATGCCGTCGGAGGGGGGGGGGGCATTCTGTAGAAGGCTAGCTAAGCCTTCCGTGTCATGCACGTGGTAGTGTGCGGAGCTAAACTGGTACAAAAGAAGTAGTGAAGCCAGCCCATGGTGCCACCAAGATCAAATGAAGCCTCATGCTGCAGGACAGATTTTTTGCGCCAAATAAATTTCACGTGTGCTTCATTCTACTTGTGACAACTCTACTGTAGATAAGCTCTCCATAGCGAGGCACAAAAGGCGACGGCATCT